CGGTTTGCTGGTGAACGGATCCAATGGGACACTTGGTGGAGTGGAGCGAGTTTGAGGGTCCGATTCGGTGATTGCTTTAGCTGCTTGTGAAGGATCTGCCCCTGAAACTGGTAGAGACAGAAGGTGAGTTACTGCTTGGCACGCCGGTGTAAAGCAATGTTTTTCGATTGTTTATCCACCAGTTCTATTATTTATTTGAAATACCATCCATGTATTTATTACAATGTATTTATTAATAGAAGATAATAATTGTATTAGTGTTTAAATAATGAAATATTAATAATGAAAAAAAAAGAGAATTGAAAATCTTTATTATATGTAATGGTCAAATAAATCGACTCTGCGGAGATATCCAGAACGAGTGTACAAATAGTATGTTTGAATGGGGTTTTATTTCCTTCAATAGTGATTAGCCTTTTGTGATTGTTGTCGGCCTATTTACTATTCTGTCGGCATGCCCAAGATATATCATCCTTGGTCTTCACGAGTAAATTTCCATCATTGTTAATAGACAAGTTTTAAAAAACATTTTCTCGACAACCATTAAACTAAAACGGATTAATTAATTGAGTGTAACTCAAGTGTTACAGTAGCGGTCATAAGTATCCTGCAAATTTACATAATAATAACTGCTTAAATTTTCCAAAACAAAAGTTTGACACAATAACTGGTCACACGTAAAATTTCTGCTCGAGCGGATGTCTTCAGCAAAATTTCCAAACATCGGATATTTTGCATCGGACTATACTACACCCTCTATGCGATGCAAACATAAAACTTCAAAAATTCGTATCTCGACACTTTTCTAACAAACTTTTGTATTCTTTTTTTTCTCTCTTTTATCATTTGAACCAGCCGGAATTATGTTTAGGATCTGTGGGCAAATTATAGCGTGATCGCTACTATAAAATGCAAATAAGCGTGCAACATGACGACTCTAAGAGCTATAATGCGCAGTTGTTTCCTTTTATAGTAACAATGTTTCATAATTCGACTATATGTTCCAAAAACCATGTAGAGATGGCTTAGATAAACAAAAGGAAAAAAAGATCATGAAAATCGATTAGAAACATGTGGAGATATGAATTTTTGAAGTTTAAATTCGAAATAAGCAAATGCGACTTTGATATGTTTTCATATGTTTTCATACGTTTTCGAAACAAAATATCCATTGTTTGAAGTTATCTTTCTTCCATTATAATAATAGTCTTGCTTCTCAGAAGCAATAGCAATTTTGATTTACAATACTATCGATAATATACAGAATAGCGAATAATATGTTTCAAAAAACTTGCCATCGAGTCTAGAAAAAATTCTTCAACTATTAAATATGTATTCTATTTACGTGTACTACCACGTTTTAATTATATGCTTGACATAGACTCTCGATTTCTTTGAAGCAAAATAGCAGCGGCGGGTGGAAGTTTTAGTGTAGTGAAAATTATATCTATGGCAATAATAGTAAATATTGTTATCCATCTTTATTCTTTGTCTTTGCGATTGCATCGAGAACAAGCAGCGCAAGAGGATAACATAAGATATTCTAATCTGAAAGCAAGTGAGTTGTACACCCATGAAAAAGGAGACGACCGTCCATTTAGTGTAAAGAAAACAGGTCACATATACTAGTAAAAGCAAACGATGAATTTAGACTAAAAGTACCGTTTGAGTAGTTTAAGTGAAGCAATAATATTCCGAATACAAGTTGTCATTAGAATTACCAACCTCCTTGGCGGGGTTTCGGTCGTTTTATATTCATTGTGTGAATGCAAAAGTTCGATGCTACGGTTCTATCCCAGCGTCTTTATTTTGGCACTGAAAACGAATCCATAACCTCTGCCACAGATGCACATGTCATTAAAAAATAAAACCGGATGTTTTCATTTTCATTATCAGACTGACTTGAGGCCATGTTTGTTGTTGCATAATACGTCAACAAGCTTTTTTGAGTAGTGTGACTAATACCACGTGATAAACTACCCTTCGGAGCAATAACGGCAAGAATTAAGTGGGTGGGAAGAATGCAAATCCTTCTCTTATTTACTAGAACGCCGCCAATTAAATGTATTTGTTTATTTTTAGCAAATGCTACAATCGAAAATACCAAGTGTCGTGAAAATTGGCAATAACAGTAACAAATGATCTATTCGTTGTATGAAGTATGCTAAATAGATGTTATTGTGCCGAATTGTATATTTTTATGTTGCTTTGAGTAGTTAAAATTGGTTTGCTCGCTCTGATCAGATTGAATATCGTTTGTATTTTACATAAAGTTGATTGTAATCGTCGTAAGCTGTTCAGAAAAAGATAGATTTAACATTTTTAATAATATGAGCAGCAAAAGTACGGTTTACGCTTTAATTACTAGTCATAATAAAAGAACTTTCGAGAAGTTCATGCGGGATGTAAATCAAAAGTACAATGAGCGGATTAGCATAAATAAAAAATTGCGCTACGAGGTCGAGATGCAGATAAATGAGGCTACTCGTCCAGTTTCAAAAGAGTATCCTAACCCAGTCTATTTGCTACCGGGACCCCGAATTTACGCTTAATGATCAAGAATGGCTTGGACATCTTTCCTATAAACTCTTATGGATACAGTATGTTTAGAAAGAAATAATTGAAAAAAATCCATCTACCCTACCCAAGAAGAAGAAAAAAATACCTCTTCCAATACCGACGATATGGATGAAATTACTAAAGGTATGTCAGAATTATCAATAAATAGGGCTATATCTAAAGGTATATCACAAGGAATAAAAGAAGTACAAGTGGCTCTCGATATAAGAAAGTATTTTTGCTGGACCCGATTTAAAATCTCATAACAAATGACTCTCGTTATAAGAGATTTTCGATATAAAATCATCTCGACATAAATGTTCGAATTGTCATACCTTGGACACAATTCTCGCAAGTGTCTCTATCCTCGAAAAAAGAAGAGCAAGTCAAAGAGGAGATCCAAAAAGAGTGGTAATGTTAATAATGCTACTTTAGATTCTGGTTTTGAGTCTGGCGATGACTCTTCTGATAACGATTCTGGTTCTGAATCTGAATCTGATTCTGAGATTTAACTGAGACTGAAATCACGAAAATTATCAATACTATCAAAGCAAAAAAAAAAAAAAAAGTAAAAAACAGGGTAATAAAGCGAGTTCTCCCGTTAAGTCCAAATCCCGTAAAAAGAAGCAGAAGGATAGTTCCACTTCCAGCAAGTATCAGAATAAACCACTCTCCTTGAACAAGATATTCGACGAATTTTATTGAAAAGGTCTTACTTCCGCATCAGTTAGAGAAACTTAAACCTGAGAACAAAAACTTAACCACCCCAGATTCCATGATTTATAGAGAACCAGTTCCAGAGGTACCTGATTCAGAGGAGGAAGAAACTTTAGATGATCCCATGGAAATAGACTTTGTTAAAAAGAAAGAACCCGATATTGCAACTATACCAGTTAAAATCAAACGCTTAAAAATTCCAGCATTGGTACTTGATAGTGGGGCTGAACCTGCAATTGTATCAGAAGATATTGTTAAACGTGTAGGTGGGAAAATAGATAAATCAGAAAAATATGATCTCAGTGGCGTTGCTACTGTTCCAACAGAATCTATCGGCATCGCTCGTAATTTACCAATAACATTTTCTCCAGGTTTTACTATACGTGAAAGATTTAGCTACCCCGTACTAATTACGTGATAAATTTCAGGTCACGAGCGTTTCAGCTTCCGCTTCAGCCCCCACAATAATTTTCTCAAAAAATTGGTAATTATCTATTATTGTTGAATTATATTAGAAGCATAATTTCTTCGATGGCGTTACCAGTTTGCTATTTTTCATAATATTTCTTTTTATTTAATATGGCCAATGTGATAATTATATAATAATGTGATAGACTTTAAGAAAGAATTATATGACGCTCTCCAAGATTCTTCTGAGATAGTTTCATATAATGCTAAATTGCGGGGTAAGTATGAAAAGCAAGAAAAAGAATTTAATCGGGAGAGGGGGGAATGGAATCGAAAGAGAAAAAAAGAGAAAGAGCAGTGGGATTGGGAGAGAGAACAATGGAATTGGGATAGAACAAAGTGGAGTAAAAAACTAGGAGGGTTGTTACCGAGAATCAAAACTTGCAGTTTGAAAATGCTAACAAAGCTATTTTTCTTGCTAATTCTAAATCCAAGATTGATATAAAATCCAAGGAAATTACAACACTTCGGTCTATGAAAAAAAAATTAGAAGGTAGATTAACATCGGCTCGGAATGACACAGTTTCAACCCAGGAAGAGATATTAAAAAAAAAAAAAAAATCTGAGATCGCATCTCTCAAGTCTGAATTGGCGAATTTAAAGAACGAATTGGTTTTGAAAATTAGTGAGCTTGAGTGTCAGAAATCGGAGGCTATATCAAAACCCGTAGTTGGTGGAGATGACGAAAAAAATACGCAAAGTGAGGAACAAAGTTCCGTAACCAAGTCTAATAATATATCTGCAATATTGCAAAACAGGCTATTGGGGGGCGATTCTTTGAATCATGACACTTACGTGTCTAGTGAACCTAGTAAAGATCTCAGTCGATATTTTGTACGTGGATCAAGCTGGAAAAATTAATACTATGTGTTTTGACACTAGCTCCGCTATTATATCGGATCACACTGATGATGAGAATACCCCTATACCTGAGGAATCAGTGATTCAAAACTATACTCCACCTCCAAAAGTCAATGCCGAGAATACTACCAAGGTATATGATGAAATCAATATTAGCGAAACTAACAAGGATAATATGTTAGATACATCGATAAAACCCAATGTATCACAGGTTATATCTGAAAATGCGACCCCGCACTTTGCACAATGGGATAATAATATATCCTCATTGATTGGATCACATTCTCGGATTTTGGTGGGAGGAATAGAAGCGATCCCTGTTGTAGCAAGTACTTTGATGTCACCGTTATCGGCATATATCTTTCTTACCTTACCTTGTTAATTATTGCGGTTATATGGTTCGTAATATTAAGACGTGAATGGGATTAGGGAGGAAACAGAAAGAAAATGATAACTGGAGATATTAGATATATGTAGATCTTGAATAACTGGGAATTATAAAGTCTGTTTGAGAAAGCTAGTTATGATATAGATTGTGTTAATACAATATGGTTCGCATCATATATTAGATCTTTAAGTGCATCATTTATCTTTTTTACAGCTTTCTTTTCTTCCTCTATGTCGAATGGCTCTTTTAACAAAAAGCGCAAATCATCAAGAGTTAATTTTCTATAATCATCTAACAATAAAGCAGGTCCGTGGGATGTGTCCAAACGTATGGTTGTTTTGCACGACAAAGTCGTTTAAAATTTTGTAAAGAATTCCCGGTTACTCCTTTACATTCTTTCAAACCATCAATAAGTTTATTATCTTTGGACTTGGAAACATCATCAAGTGAATTATTGTTTCCGGATTCAGAAGCCCCACCAGATAGTTTATTATCCCAAGTTATGGCACTACAAAAACGCCTGGACACTATGGAATTGTTTTTTAAAGATTGCGTAGTCGAGTTTCAGATTGTCTGCTGTGTTTATTATCATAATTCAGCAGTAATTTAGTTCCATTAGTCGAGGTTTTGATAAATGCTCGGGAATTAGAGATAAATACATCCCATTGCACGGGGTTTTCCATTTCCACCATATCTTGCGTCAAGAAATTCAACAGGGATATCAATGTCTATCAGGTCAAGTGAATCGTGATCCCTTAGACATTGCTTGTTCATTCTGCAGACCTAAGAGCTGTTGAAGTTACATAATTTAAAGTCAGATCACATGAGACCAATCAGATTCTTCCTTCTCTCTATAAAATGCGCGGACGTGCATTTATGGAAGGTTCATTATAGTGAAAATGATTTAGATTGATAGACATCAGTAACAACTAACCCCACACTCACAACTTCGTTACTCAATCCAACGTGCTTGCAGATTTCAACAATTCCAGTATTCAGCAACGATGCTAATAAGAAAGGCTCATCATTTCATTAATAATAATTTGCGATGCTTCAATTCTAATCGCACATTCGCTTCAATTGGTCAACTGACGGATAGACCTCAGAATTTGATCGAGAAGATTGTTCAAAAATATGCCTTAGATTTGCCTAACCCATCTTACAAAGTGAAAAGTGGCGATTTTGTAACCATACAGCCTGAACATGTTATGACCCATGATAACACCGCTGCTGTAATGACAAAGTAAGAATCAATTTGTTAATTTGTAGGCAACGTGTATGTGTGTATTATTGTAATTATTCCGCATAACAGGTTCAAGAGCATTGGCGCTGAAAGAATAAAGTATCCTAGACAGGCTGTCTTTACTTTGGATCATGACGTGCAGAACAAGTCTGAAAAGGTTTACCATCGTATGATCTTTCCATTAGTTAGTTTGAAATAATTGAGGTATCTGGCTAATAATTGCTAATATTTTATTTAATGCTGTCAAGTAGAACCTCAAAAAATATGCTAGCATTGAGGAGTTTGCAAAAAGAAATGGCGTGGATTTTTACCCGGCGGGAAGAGGAATAGGCCATCAAATTATGATCGAAGAAGGGTATGCCTTTCCGTATACTTTGACCGTAGCATCCGATTCGCACTCCAATATGTATGGAGGGATAGGATGTCTGGGAACACCGATCGTGCGCACAGATGCTGCAGCGCTTTGGGCAACCGGACGTACGTGGTGGCAGATACCGCCTGTAGTCCAAGTTGAATTTACGGGTCAATTACCGCCTGGGGTCACCGGAAAGGATGTCATTATCGCACTCTGTGGATTGTTCAACAATGACGAAATTCTCAATTGTGCTATAGAGTTTACTGGCGTGGGGGTACAAAGTATTACTCTTGAAGATAGATTGGCCATTGCAAACATGACGACTGAATGGGGAGCGCTAGCTGGTGTTTTCCCCGTGGATGATATTACGATTCGATGGCTCAGAAAAAGAATACAAAAGCTAGAGATCACTCGTTTTCAGAACAAAAACTTACCCCCAGCACTACCAGGGGTCCATTTCAAACATCCAAGAATATACACTGAAAGAATCGATGATATCAAGAGAGTGCCAATCACATCGTCTGAGAATGCAGCTTATGCTAAACACCTGACGCTAGATCTCTCAAGTGTTTCACCCCATATATCTGGCCCAAACTCGGTTAAGATTGCCACGCCGCTATCCCTTCTTGAAAAGCAGAATATCTCCATACAAAAAGCATATCTTGTTTCTTGTGTAAATTCACGTGAAAGTGACTTGCAAGCAGCAGCCGAAGTTATCAGAGGAAGAAAGGTTTCAGACGGAGTTGAATTCTACGTGGCAGCAGCCAGTAGCGAAGTACAACAAGATGCTGAAGAAAGTGGAGCTTGGCATGATTTGGTCAATGCTGGCGCCAAAGTATTACCAGCCGGTTGTGGTCCATGCATAGGTAGTTAGAAGGTTAAGTTCAAATTGGTCTGCTAACGTATAAACTTAATTAAGTTTGTATAACAAATTAGGACTCGGGACTGGTCTTTTGAAAGACGGTGAAGTTGGTATATCTGCCACTAACCGAAACTTTAAAGGTCGTATGGGATCTCCTAAAGCGTTAGCATATCTAGCATCACCTGGTAGGTAGATAACATGAATAGCAAATCTAGTTGACAGTAGTTTCAATGTGGATATAGAAAACGTGTCTCAGTGATTATTATTATTGATATGCTCTGCCTTAACCTCATACATTATTATCATTGCAATTAAGCTGTCGTGGCTGCATCTGCTATAGCAGGAAAAATAGCGGATCCTGCAACATTCTCTAAATCATTCGAGCATGCCTCATATACCGAATCACCAAGGATCTCTATTATTTCAACACAAACATCAAAAAAGCCTACTGTTACTGAAGTTAAACCTGTGATTTCTGGATTTCCTGAATCAATAAAGGCCGAACTGCTGTTTTGTCACGCGGACAATTTGAACACTGATGCAATTTACCCAGGAAAATACACATATGTGGATGACTTGACTCCCGATCAAATGGCAAAGGTAGTCATGGAAAACTATGATCCCAAGTTTGTAAACTTGGTTCAGCAGGTCAGTCCTGAGATCGTTGATAATATTGTATTGAAACCATAACGCTTATACGAAAATGTTTATAATTCACTCATCTATCTTGTCTTCATTCAGGGTGACATATTGGTTGGTGGTTTTAATTTTGGTTCTGGCTCCTCCAGAGAGCAAGCTGCAACGGCCGTTAAAGCAGCTGGAATCAACTTATTACTAGCAGGCTCATTCTCGGAAACTTTCAAGAGAAATGGTATTAACAATGCCTTGCTTCTACTTGAGGCACCCGAGTTGGTAAACGACCTGAAAGAACGACTAGGTGTTAATAGTCTGACACAAAGGACACAATGGTTTGCAGAATTAAGAGTACCAGAAGGAATAATAATAACAAGAGATGCAAGCGGGAAGGAACTAAAATATTATCAAGTTGATGTATTGGGACAAAGTGTCCAAGAATTGTGGGTTGCGGGGGGCCTTGAGAACTGGGTTAAGCAAACGTTGTAGATAATAAAAAAACATGCATGCGTTGGCGATCTATGACTGGCGATCAGTTTGTGAAATCCAATCATATTGTGTTAAAGAAATTTTCTAGTTCCTTTGACCTTTTTTTCCAAGTGTTTGATATTACTGTTATTATTTCAATAAATGTCTGAAAACTATTCTGAAGAGATTGTATCGGAAGAGGAGGACGAATTTGCAAGTGCTTCAGAAGGCGAAGATGCACTACCTCATCCTGTTCAAATCGGCGATAAATCTCAGACGGCAACTGGAAAAGGCGCTGTCACGTTGGATGCTACGTTGAATAGTCGAGAACAACAAAAAGAATCAACATTTGATAAGAATACTGAACAGTCTCCAACAGCTCCACTTTCGAATACCTATACAATGTCAACGGGGCAGCAAGGTATGCTTACTTCTTATGGAAGACGGGGACGGCGTTCACGTTTAACATTTTACTTTTGTCTGACCATTTCATTGCCTCAGAAACCTCAGGTTGGAGCTCTTGGGGTTCCTGGTTATCTTCTGCCGTTAGTAATGCCACAGAGGCTATCGTCATGGGGGATGTAGATAGTTTATACAATAAAGCGAATACAATAAGTAAGGTTTGCCACGTGACATTTGTTATTCGCCTTTATATTTGTATTTACCACCCGTCGCTTTATAAGCTACGACTATTCGACATGTTGCCGCTGAACAAGTTGATAGAGTTTATGAAACACTCGATCCCGACTTTACAAAAGGCGACAACTCGATTCGCGAATCAGAATCTAACGATCAAGCGGGAATCTCGTCAGAAAATCATGCGTCCGAAGATAATGATATTCAAAGGATCGAAGGACAAACAGGCGATGCTATTAAGGTTAGTTTGTAATGGATCGATTTATACTGAGATTATTCGAAGGATTTCTCTAATTTTAATCAATAAATTATTGTCACATTTCTTACGACGATTTGTATTACGTGTCTATTTCTTCTAACTAATTAGTTTGGTTTCTCTTTCCTTGCTCGTAGGATACCGCCGAAGTCCTTCTTTCGACGATTGATAAGACTTTTGACTTCGCATCAAACGTTCTTGGAAATGCCGTTTTCGTATGTCTATAAATATACTGTAAATGAAGAGTTGAATAAGTTGTTAACTAGCACTGTTATTGGGTTTATTTAGGGTGGATATAATAAACTCTCAACAGAATCATCAAAGATTCAAGAACAGGTATATTAATAGAAAATAGGTTGTTTCTAAATCTAGTGACGTATCAATGATTGCTTATATTTTCTATAGATTCAAGTGGGCAGACTTTCTGAACAGCTTCAAGCAGCCAAGCTTATTGAACAGATTCCTATTGGGAAGCTTACTGATAAGGTAAGTAATTTACACAGCTTGTGTATTACAGAGTCAACGTTTAGAATACAGTTAGCTTTTAGATAATATTTTCCATTCACGTATGTCGATTCTGAATCTATACATTCTAGACTGCGAAGCAGATTGATGACTTTCAAATTTCTGACAATGCAAAATTATAACCAATTTTTATCTGCATGAATACAGATACAGGTGTGGTCACCTATTGGAATATCGGACAATTCAGATTAATGATCGTCTTGAAAGGGTTGCCAATATTTAATAATTTGCGCTTATAAGCAAATTCTGTTCTCTTTATATTGTAGCTTAGTGGAGTTGGTCAGGAAGGCCTTGGAGCGCTGGAGCTATTAGGTAGACGAGCGATAGGTGTCATTAATGAGCAGGTAAATCTGGGGGGGTTTTTTGATTTGTAATTTTTGTTTTACTGCCCTAATTGATGTACTAAGGATTGCTATATTCCAAGGATGTAATAACGACTCACGTTACTTTAAATTTTACCTAATGGTAGGGCTTAATTCGATCATCGTCAGAACATTTGGTGAAGTTTGACCAGGTAAAGAGGTTTGCAACTATTGCGTATACAGGAAAGAGTGTATGCCGAGCCTTCAATGATACTCAACCCTGTAACAATATTTCAGATTAGTCATTTGACAGTCAAACAATTATTCGAGTCTAACACAGGATCTGCTCATCTTGAGGTAAGTACAAGAATGCCAAAGACATTACCTAATCGCACAATGACTGAAAGTGACTTTTTCATAGGCTATCAAATCCTTGACAGATGAAGCATTAGAAAAGTATGAAACTTTGTTATCATCCGGGATAACTCCAGACCTTAACCAGATTGAAGAAGTTGAACGGAATCTGGTTAATGATGCAATACCCGACGCTGTGCAAGAAACTGACAACAGCGTGTTAGCAGCGCAAGCTGATTTAAAGCTTATGGTAAAGATTTATACGCGCTCAAGCCCTAATATAACTTACTGTGAAACCAAGATAAATAATTATGTATTTTAGGTTGGATTATTGGAAAAGATGGAAATCAAAGCCTCCGCAATAGTAAGACAGCTACGCATGATTACAAGAAAGTTGGCCAGCATTACACATAGCAATGTGGCGGCATTTGAAAATGGTGAGCCTTTGTATTAACTATAATATTTATGTGTACATTTATTCTCTAATTCTTTGGTGAATTTTTGTAACCAAGATTGGAAAGAAATAGAGCAAGATATTATGTGGGAGGAACCAGTAAACAAAAGAAGACAAACCAAGGATTTTTTTGAAAGTTCTATCAGAGCAAAGTATGTTTTTTATTTTAATATTTTGGCGTCGTTCATATTATTAAGGACAAAAAAATGTTTTTGTTTGCCCCTAGTTATGAAGCCGGTATCAGAGTGCTGGCCAACTTTGGAGAGAAGTCATGTGAACAGGTGAAAATATCTATACCAAAAATAATTGACTTTACCGATATGACAAATATAACAAGGCCTGACTGTTTGTTTTGTTTTTTTTATTGTACCTCACCATTGGTAGATGTTGCGATTGGCGGAAGCATTTCTTGTTCGAATTGCAGAAAACAGATTGAATGACGATGAAGAAAATAAAGTCTCGCATGCGACTCCTGCAAAAATATCGGAACATCTTAGAGATTTTGCGGCAAAACTTTTAACAGTATGTGATATTATTGTCAATTGACTAGAGATTAAATTTGCCGTTATTGCAGTTTCTGATAAGCATATGGTATTTAGGAAGTACATTTTGTTGCGGGAACCTACATCAAGACGATACAAGCAATTGTTACTCGTGGCAAGACCTTTAGCACAAGCTTTGAAACAGCAGACTGGGACATACTTGATCAGCAGGTATTAGGCTCAACGAGGCCGCTATGATTTGATTCAATTACCGCGCTCCCAATATATCTGATATATTCTTCCAATAGGTGCTGATGGTATATGAGCAACTCCATACTGATTCAGGAACGGTCATTACTTATATCCAAGACTCTTCGAGCAACATTTCGAATATATTGAAATTGATGGTAGCAGAGAGTTAAATCTCAAGGTCGGCATTTAGATTTTAATTCAAAGTAATGATTGTAAATTACTACTATAGAGATCATTCATCAATATTGGTGTATACTAGTTCATATCGACTTCCAACTTGATTGTCATTCCAATAATTTATCGGTTTGAGGACATTATAGCGCCGTTACTTTTTTAATACTAGGCGTTATGCTTTATTAAATTTTATAGAATTGTTAACCTGACAAATTGCGAGCGCTATTAATTATGTGAATATAGACTACAGCATTTGAAACCATACTTTAGATAAATAAACTATTGCTGCCTATACATTTGGCGGTTACACGTGAATCTTGAAGCAACGATAGATCAATTAATTACATGCTGAATTCAACGCACACAATATATTACTATGAATTATTTTGCAACGTCGAACCCGTTTGTAAAGGGCGCGCAAGATGTTGACCACGCGTTTTTACTTATTAGGCTTGAAACTTGGATCTTTGGAATTCAGACTCATCATACAAAGCAACAGCAATCCTGTAGTCTGCATATAAAGGGAAAGAGGTGCGATAGTGGAACCGAAGAAGTAAAGCTATGAAACTTTGTTACAAGTAATAGCTGCTTTCTGTCGTTCGAGCGTTATTAATAAACTCACCACTGGCAAATCCTTCAATATAAATGTGTTGCTAATTATCTATCGACCGTGGAATCACTAGCGTCGATCAAGTCTTAAGAAGTGCTATTATATCAATATGGAAAGGAGAAGCGTTCGGTCACAAACACAAATCTCTAATCGGTTTTGATAAAAGCATTCTTTCTATTAACTATTACTATTGAAATTTATATTTTCAACCCGGCTTTCAAGATCAGTTATTACCAAATACCGTGCACACCATTCAAATCTCAACTTCTTTTATTTTTGAAAAACAAAATCGACGCGTGCGAACTTGCGGACAATTAACATTCTGGATTGTATATATTGGGTTTCTGAAGTGGTTGAAGAAAGCACGATTGGAAAATTGTTGTTTGAAACCATCGAAGAGATTGTTTGATAATAGTAAACTAGATCAGGACGGATGACAGGTAAAAAAGCTGTATATCGTCCGGAAAAGAAACTTATTCAAGTAGTCCGTCCTGTTGACGACGCGCTACTATTTTCTGATAAATTCTCCTGAGGAATGTGTTGTTTGATAGTAAGGTTCGTCATTTAAAACATTTTGTACTAATTTCGTATTGTGCGATTTTCAGCCAATAGTAATGTTTGTGATATTAAATATCGTAAATATGTAGCTTATATTTTTATTCTCTCACTTCACATAAGTTACGGACTGACATATCTTCCTAATTCCATGAGCGAATTTTTGCATTATAAAGGCAGAGATATTGATCGAGTATCGGCGTTCGTAAGTGCTTTCTGCTTTTGCAAAGTGGACAGATAATGTGAAGCACGATATATGGATAGTGTTTTTATCTTCCTTTATAGTTGATGCGATCAGCTGAATCCCGTGGAGAAGACGCAGTTAATGAAAATCAATCTGACAAGAATAGAGAAACGGATCATAGTGATAAAGATACTTATAACCATATCATGAATGCAAAAGAGGTTATTGATCCAGTAGCTATTAGAAAAAAAAGGTTGGTTATTATCAACCGAGTTATGGCTCATTTTGACACAATTATATAAGTTTGATTATTTATTCTTCTTTGAAACAGTTTGACAGATTTGGCGGTTGCCAATCACCATGTCGGTGCTCACCTCAAATGTATACGTCCAACCGATGATATATTCAACCCTGAAGATCCAAAGATACGCGAGGTTGGCTTGTCTTGTCTTACTTATATGGCTATTATTTGAATTCGTTGGCCATGACAACTCTTTCTTTGCATCTCGACTTTTATCATTGAAAAAGGACATTATTCGTATGATCATCCAATATTTATCTGATGAAGGGTACACTGCTGCAAGAACCATCATTTACGACGAAGCCAATGTCAAATGGCACGAAAGAGAAGAACGTGTCGTTGAAGCAAAGAGATTAAAGAAAGCAATATTGGGTATAATGCTCATCTACAAGATGTAGTCGTGGGATTTTATGAGTAGCAATTATTGATCCTACTAATGTTACGATTAACCAATTGCTGTACTTATCATATCTTAGATGGTGACTGGACAGAAGTGGATAAGCTATGTGCTAAACCTCTTCTCAAAAACCATAAAAGTTTTTTGTACGCTGTATACAAGCAACAGTATCTTGAATACATTGAACATCAAGAGATGCAGAAGGTAATTCAAGTCTAATACTTATAATTATTGTAGAATAAAAGGGTTTCGTGTTTTTGTTGTAGCCGACAAGAGTTAATCATATTTGCTCATCAACATACTTAGGCATTTACGTTTTTAAATAAACGACTGAAACCCCTTGAACATCTACAGACTACCCCAAATGAGTTTAAAGATCTATGCTATTTGTTGACTGTCAATGCAGTCCATGATGCTCCATCATTTAAGAATTGGGAAGGTATTGGGCCTGCAAGGTTAGTCGAAAGAACGTTGAGAAGGCTGGGAGATTACGTTATGGCCTAATTATTTTCTGGATAATACACCAAGCGATTATTTCAACCATTCACACGCTTCGTTAACTGCATATTTCTACTTTCCATTATTCCTACACTATATGACAATCGATCTTCAGAGAGAAGTTGGTTGAACAATTCCAAAACATGCTCAATTTTGAGAATGCAGATAAAGACGGTATGGCTGATCTCTATACTTTAATCTACCTTTTCACATAGATCAGTCAGCAAACATTTCAATCATTTCTAACTAATAAGGATCTATCTACGTGCCTCCGAACCGACTTCTTACACTCCTCCGACAGGCTGTTGCATATCAAATAGAGTTCTCTCGTTATCATCCGCGTGTTGCGCCAAGGGTTAACACGTGAGTTATAATAACCGAAGGAAGGGAAGGAGAGATGTGGGGAGGGGGAAAGGGAGAGCAATAAAATTAGTTGAAAGTTGGGATCGCATGATATGAAACCATGCATATATATGAAATTGAATAACATCTAATTCGCTCACCTGTTATCTTTGTTTATTGGTGTTATCTAATTTTAATTGCCTACCATGTTCATTGCGTTAGACTTTTACAGGATTATACGAGTCTAATAATACCGAATGCTGTTAGAGCTACACTGATCGGACACAAGGGTAACGTCAAATGTGTCGAGTTTGTTGGTGAAGCTGGTCGAGAGATTGTCAGCGGATCAAGGTATACAGTTATGCTCAAAGTTGAAAACTTATTATTGTTGTCTTTGTTACCTTATTAACTGTATTATTATGGCGTTTTGTTTGTTCGTTCCTTAATAGTGATAATACAATTAGAGTATGGGATACAGAGACGTCGAAGCAACTTGCAGTGTTTGAGGGTCACGAGTCTCGCATATGGGATGTTTCGTCTAATAAAAATGGAACTATAATATCTAGTGCTAGTGGAGATAGTACTATTAAGGTGTCGTAAAACATCGTTGTGGAATAATGAAAGATGTTGCAGATCTTGGTTCCTGCCTCTGGCTTATCGCAATTCTCTTATTTTCCACACGTCAGTTATGGGATATGAAAGCCATCAAGAACGCTTGCTTGAGTTCAATTCCTGGACATAGTGGTGATGTCTATTCAGTTAGATTTCATCCCGGCGACGTAAGTTTTATTGCATTATTTGAATACCCAGATTGATATTTCTCCAACTTGGACTCCTGTTCTAATTATAGAATCACATCGTGAGCGGTGGCTATGATAAGATCGTTCGCTTGTTTGATATCAACACTGGACAGTTGGTAAAGATGTTCAACGGCCATCAGTTAGCGGTGTCCAAGACAATATTTAATCCACTTGGGAATCTCATCGTAAGCGGGTAGGTATATTGAATAAGATGGTTTGATTATCATCAATAATTCTAACTATGCTCTAAAACGGTTTTACTCAGGTCTAAGGATAATACTATCAAGTTTTGGGATATTGTCTCCGGTTTATGCATAAGAACTATTTCTTCTCATCTGGGAGAAGTAACATCGGTCGAGATGAACACGAATGGAACCATTCTTCTGAGCAGTTCTAAGGACAATTCCAATAGACTGTGGGACGTGAGAATGGTAATGGGCCGCAAAATTACACATTTTACTCTGTAGAACGAAAGGGCTTATAATATTAATCATTTACTCATTTTCGTCGGCTATTTCCAGGTACGACCCATTCGAAGGCTTAAAGGTCACCAAAATACATCAAAGAACTTTATTAGAGCTGGATTTGCGAGTGATTCCTTGATAGTCGGTGGATCAGAAGTACGTGTCACTTTGTGGATAACGTTATAATGACAGTTTATGTTACCATTACGATACTTGAGCTGCTTTTTAATCCACCGCGTCACTCATTTTATAAATAATATTCAGGATGGAATTGTATACATTTGGGACCAAGACACTGGAGAGGTCTTGCAAAAGCTGAAAGGTCATTCCGGAATGGTGTATAATGCAGCCTGGAATAACAAACAAAGTCTGTTTGTGAGTTGTAGTGACGACAAGACGCTTAAAACATGGTGGTACGATGAGAATGTGTCTCTTGAGTTATAACACACAACCCACTTTTTTGGCGAAGTTAAATTGAGGAGGCCACTGCAACCGACATTATTTACCAAGCATTAGCAGAAGCTCTACAAAAGATCCCCCGAATATGCAAAGATAATATCAATCTCAGTTGCTTAGGTTTTGTTATTTTGTTTTGTCTTGATGTTTTTTAATGATTAAGAGACTATTTTTATCGAAAACTTAGTTGCTACGTCTCAATATCTATATTAAAGAAGGTAAAAATAATTACAATCATAACGATCTCTATCACGTTTTTCAGTATAAGAAAACGAGTAAAAATAATTATTATAATACTACGATATTATGGTGATCTACTTAATAATAAACAAGTTATGACAGGATACTTTTCCATACTGATTCTGTTCAAGTGCATTAAAGTGTCCCATTATCATTATTGTCCGAATAGTCACTTTCATGAGACCAGTAGAGAGAAGAGAATGAATAGACCATAAAGAATATCCCAAGTGCAAAGCACGTCAAATAAACCATGTATCTTTGGTGTCGGATTGAAGTCATCTGCTTCAACTTGTCCATTGTGCCAGAAAGCGAGCCGTCGAATGACGAGAAAGTCCCACTACTATCGTCGAGTACCTCGACATCAGCATTCACTTCGTTGTTTATATCCACTGTAATCTATAGATACAAATACATTAGACATGTTTATAGTGACAAAATGCATCTGATTGTTTATTGCAATGCAGCCATAATCTTGCAAGTCATGCTTATGATTACCTTATGTAATGCAGACAGTTTGTTGTTCAGTTCCTTCAAGCGTAGATCGTTCTGTTGCTCATACACTCTAGTTGCGTCACTTTCATGATACATGGTTGCAAGCGACGATGGACTTGTGTCTGGTCTGTTTGATCCTAATAAAGATGCTCTGTCTTCGGCAAAAGACAGCGGCTTTTTTGCGATTGACCTTGTTGCGTTCGAATGAACAAAAGTTGAATGAGTATAAGAGTGAAAAGAGTGCGACAAAGGATGTTCAGTAGACTTACATATTTTTTTTTGTCGGGTGAGAGAGGTAAGTATTTGGGCTATTTAGTATTTTTGTATTTGGCAGGTATTTGTTTCCCAAATTAATATCAAGCCACGTGCAGACCTCATCATCTCAGTACGTGTGAAATTTATTGGTATATTATGTCGAATATGAAAAATGCATATTTAGTGAGCATGTTAACTTATTATATGCCAATGGAATTATTCGGAATAGCTTATTATTTCCGATCAATTGGCAAAAGTTTTCAAACGAGGCAAAGGTTGTATTGTCTTGCACGCTTGGTGAAGGTACCATTTCCGAGCATTACAAACAATCTATATATCTTGTACGAGTAGTGGCGAGTATCAGATTACCCTTACTGTTACAAAGACCGCAATCAAAGAAAATGTAATTATCATATCATTGTTGAAGGATCGGATAACCGTTGATAATTTCCCAACAGTAAGAGAGCACGCATCAAAAAATTCGTTTATTCGTCCCACATGTATTATGCAATAACAAAGCAATAAGATATTTAAACAATAATATAACTGAGGCAGGGTATAAAAATACTCGTATAATTTGCATTATTGATCGTATAAATTTTATTTATTTCCTTCCACAAGCAGCAAGTATCAAGTATACACATTAAATACCATATCAACTCAGCCAAGATGTTCATTCCACCCATCAATTTTACAGTAGACTGAATCGTTGTAGAAATCGCTTTGAACCAAATCCAATGACAACCAATAATTACACAGAGCGAATTAATAGAACCATTGAATTGAATAGCCTTTTCCAGGCAAGCAGACCGTAGTGACATTTATCAAAAGATTGTACGGAATAAAGTTGTTACGTGAAACTATTATGAAGAAGGAACCGGCCAAATCACTTACAAATCTGGCTTGGTAACATTATTTAATGTGCAAGCGATGGAGTAGGCAAGTTAAAGACAAACAATTAGGAATTCAATTGAAAAAAAAATTAAACTATTTTAAACTAACTTACAGGAAAATGGACGCCTCTGACGTGAATCTTTTACATTACGTTGAAAATTCGAACCATTCGATTACTATTTTATTAAGAATAATCGAAGTTCATCAACTGAGTACCAACTATTAAACGAGGAGCTTATTCATATAGATGAAGACTATTTCCAGCGCCTTCAGCCTATGATGAAAAAGCTTTCTGCAACCTTCGAAATCAAGCCAAGGGAGATATATTATCTGACCAACATTGTGTGAGTGTCCGAAGCCCAGAAGTCAGATTATAAAAAATTCTATAAAGAGACCAAGGACAAACTAGTGACATATTTTAAAATAAAGAAAGGGTATTGCCAGCTGATCAAAAAAAAAAAAAAATTTTTAAAACGAGATAAAATTTTTTATCCTATTTATACGGACGCTCCTCCTAAGTTGTCCGCGAAGCCTCGTAAGGCCAATCGAATTTTAAACGTTCAAACACTTGCCGCCATCTACACAAAAACGCAAAATGCAAGGTATCAGGAATTTAAAACGGGGACTAACAGTAAGAGATTAATAAATAACACCAATGAATTGATTAATTTTTATTTGACTCATTTTTCAGCCAAAAATTACGTCAATCAGTCTTACAAGAAATCCCGTTGTGACAAGTTTCAGACATTGTCATCGAGTTCAAGTCCCAAACTTGTTCCGATACTAATACGGCCATCGAGACTTCAATACCGAAAAAATAATCTCGGCCAATATTTAGCGGTTTTGTATAATAATCGATAGATTTCGATATCTTTATTATATATTATAATTACCATCGCCCATGTTGCTAGTTAATGAATAAATCATTATTAAATAACCAAACGTTACGTTTATTTTTTTAGGTTGGACAAGCTCAGTCCATTTGCTGAAGCAAATTATCTTGCTGAACGACGATGGGGGTAGACGAAAATCGACTCTCCAATAATTGACATAATGGTAGACTGAGTGTTAAACAAAAATAAAAACAAAGTGGAAGTTAAACTAATCATGTGGTATTTGGTAGGAAATCGTGTCTCTTACAACAAGATTTTCTTTACAGAAAATTGCATTTTTTAAAAATGTCTCGATGAGATTTGCAGGACATTGTGCTGATAACCATGTGACATTTACAATCAGAAAATATTGCAAACATCTCGTCGTGATGTCACCAACAAATTGCTAAATTTCTATTAGTATCCTGGTGATCTTGTCACAAGATTCTGCTAGATTGTTCAACTTCGTAAAATTTCCATGCATCCCCAAAATCTCATGGGCACATCTTCATGATACACTAAAATTAGAATTCTCATGGCGATCTCATTACGTGATGTCTGTTAGATAGTGGTGATCTTATTCTGATGTCACAGAGAGATTTATAAAAACTACAGGTTTCTGTAAAGTAATACACACACCGGCTCTAACTAACTAATATTATAGCGGTGTTACTATATGTACGTACACCTATTTTGTTTAGCCGTTTAACTGGTTATCCGGTTTGGGTTAGAGTTAGGGTTTCTAATGCTAATGTTATTTTATTAAGTCGTGTAATCTTTTAAACAAAAGTTTTTTGAATGGAAAGCAACAACCCTATTTCGCATACTTTGATTAAACAGAAAAATTTGCGTGTACCTATTATGTTATCTGTTTTATCGGACACTTATTGTATTGTAAGGTAAAATAAAATAGGTGTCTCAGATAAATATTTGAAAAAATTCAGAGAATTTTTACATGAGAGTCGCAAACGCTTTGTTAAAGCATCCGTAAAAATATCGCCAGAATAGTTTATTGACAAATCATACACTCATACAATAAAATCATTATCATAAATTACAACACAAAAAAGCGTACGATAACATCAAATTATTTACAATAGAATTGAGTATAACACAAGCTTGCAGATAGCCTATTTTACCGTGCAAATATTGCAGACTCATCTACGATTAAATATCAATCTAACTTCCATAAGATAGCTCATTCAGCGCAGCTCATTTTCGCCTCCTAAGCAATAGACACTTCGGTTCAGCAACAACGACGCACAATAATAGAACTATTACTATAACAACAACTAATAATACTGTAATCTTTAATCGAGAGTGTGTTACTTATAAAGGGCGATAAATTTTATCTAAATAAATAATTTTTTATACTCGTTCTCCGCCGCTATCAATCGTAGTATTCAATTTAATATAAATATTATAATTTATTATTATTATTGTTCATCGTTTTGTAAAACACCCTTCACTTTGTGACAGGGCCAAATTTGAGTCCGTCACGTATTTTTAAACTGCGAAATTTGATGACGTCGACTTCAATCAACATTCCGCTTTTATATTTATTATTGTATCTCATTTGCCATTGCTATTTAGACTAACTAAACACAGTTAATCTTTTTGCCGGATATCTTTTTGCATCATACTATCCGGAGTTCTATTCGCATTTAGAATTTAAAATATCGATGACACGCTAAAGAAAAAAGGAAAGTAATGCCTGTCTGCATACATTCGTTAACTAATATGGCTGCCATGTAATAGCTAATAGGTCCAATGCCAATACTGTATTACGTTTCCCAAAACGAAAAGACCGACTGTGTAACAAGTTTATATGCATTTGAAGCAACCAAAGCAAAAAAGCGATTGACAGTTATCCTTGCCTTGCGAAGCTTGTGAACAATGTCAGGCTGTCAAGTAATCGAGAACTTGATTCAATCTTCCTTAAACGATTATAAATATTGTAGTCTCAAGTGGATCTCTTATTCAGAGTTCACTATTATCGAGCCGAGCTACGATACTGTTGACCTAACGCTTTACTATGCACAAACGTTTAACGATGATGAGAGCTCCGAGAGAATGCTGTTATTACTGGGAAACGACGAAAAGTGTACACCAGCCTACATGGATGAGTTTGCCAGGAAGTACTCGCTCTCAAGAAACAAGCGTGAGAATCCATCAACGAGAATCCAGTTCAGACGATATTCCGGTTGGCTTAAGAATCGCAATAAAATGATAAAAGGATTTACCAAGTATAAAAATAACTATTATATGGTCGCTTCTACAAAATTTCATCTTTTTTATTCTCGATATGGATTCTGTTCTATATGCGGAATACTTAGATGTAGTCCTGTGTGGTGTATTTGTGGGCATAAAGAAATATCCAAGGGATGGACCAGCAACAATAAGCAGCTCGATGAGTTTATTAAGAAAACACAAATACAAACAAATTCAGCAAATGAGGCCTACTTGGAATGGATTCCATTTGACTTTGTTGAAATCGGAAAAACTGGAATATACTTAAAAGGCTTACCCACTTATTGCTATTTAAAATTGATTCCACTTGAGATAACAGATGAGACAGATAATTTGTACTATGAGAAGGTAAACTATTCAATAAAGTATACATTATGTTTATTTGTTGTTTAATAAGTACTGACTTAATGCATAATATTTATAGTTGTGTAATGAGCATCCAGATATGTTTATCACCTGTAGTTGGTACACAATAGGATTCACATACAACATCGAGGAACAAAGATATTTTTTAATTAAAGAACAAAAAGAGGGTGTATGTCTGGCATGTACAAGGGAATTACAACCTAAGATAAATGGATTCTGCTTTAAATGTAAAGCACCAAGACCTCTTGATTGGACTACTGGAAACAATTCACTAGATTCATTTATAATGAAATCATGGGGCAACACTCATGTTATAGATGATAATTGTTTACAATGGATAGAGTATTCTCAATTGACAAACATACGAGAAACGATGTCATTACACCATAGAGGTACTCTTATAGCAGATTTGCTAGAACTGGCAACAAAAAGACAGATGAAAGTGGTACTCAAGAAAAT